TCTGATTTCAACTGCTTTCAGATATCAGATGATGCATATTGATTTAATCTTATTTATTTCTGTATTAAAAAAAAAACACATCAATCAAAAGAGTTATGAATGAGATTCAGATAAAATAATATCTATCAAATAATTGTTTATTATTATGAATATTATATATTATTTATATTTTTTAAAAAATTCAAACTTCTTCAGCTCCTATTATTATTATTATTATTCTTCAATTATAAATGTATGCAGTTAATAACTATGACATCTAACTGAAATACTTCAGAATTTTTCAAATCAAGAATAATCTAATATACAAAAGCAATTTGATATATTCATTAACAGAATTCCAGCCCGGAATCAAACAACTATTCAAACTGTTCAATTAAAGAAATCAAAATCAAAAGAATGTCAACAAGTCAACACAACTCAGTTTGAAAACAAAAGAAATAAACATTGTAAAAAACAGCTTTATTAAAATAAAGAAAAGAAAAAAACCACTAACGACATTGATAATATCAATAAAAAACAAATCAAACTTTTCAACAACCAATTAAAACTAATCATAAATAAACTTAAAAGAGACATCAAAGCAAAATGAAAATAAAGAATAAAAGATAAATTAAAATAAATCAAATAAAAAAATCTGATCTCAATATTTTTAACAGACTATTTATTCAAACTCTTATAGCAACATTTGATTCTTTCAAATATTCAATTAAAAACTTGTTTCCAATTTCTGTATTGAATAATAGGTTTAAATTTAATTGTTTCAATTGAAACTTCTTTCTCAGTTTCAATCTCAATTCTGAATACTTTGTACAAAGTAACAGAAGATGCTCTGAATTTTCATATAATTGACAATCTAAATATAGATTATTTAAATCATCTTTAAATTTTGTTAAATATGATTTAAAGTATTCATGTCTAGTTTTAACTCCATTATTGTAGCAAAAAGTTTCTTTTTACACTTTATTAAACAAGTCTTCCACTTTGACTTTGTTTCAAATCTGAAGTAATACACACTTTTTCTTTGCATAAATCAGATATCTTGTCATTTTTGCAAATATGATTCTTTTATTTTTCTTTTAATAAAAGCTCATATTACAATTCTTTGAAAGCAGACTTTTAATTCAGTTGCTTTTTTTTATAGCTCTATCAGCCATTTCATTATCATATATACTCATGTGAGCAGACACTAAGTGAAGATGAATAGAACAATTAAATGAGATTATTATTATTATTATTCTTTCGTTATACTCGTATACAAGCAGTGCTTATGACGAGTCCTTGTGTAATGTTAAATACAAGCAAGAGTTAGTTATACAGGAGGAAATGCTTAGTGTTGAATGATGTCAAGAATATAACAGAAATATAGAAAAATTAATAAAAGACAGAATTTGATACCCATAATACAGATTTTCAGCTCAGAAACAATAAACTAAATCAGATAGTAGATCTGTTTGAAGATATCTATTTAGCAAGTTTACATCTCTTTATTTTAGAAGCTGAGAAATTGACTCTGAATGTAATATTATCCTCTTGTGGGTTTCAAACCCACGCACCTCGAGTCCCCACGCCAAGGCATTACCTGGTGGCTGCATTACCCATTCAGTCACTGAGGCTATATACTTCACTGTGAGACAGCTTCTGATATTCTTCTATTTCAATCTTCTTTTTATAAAAATCCTCTTCATATAATCTTTTTTTCTGATTTCTTTTCTTTTTCTTTTTTTAATCAATTCACAATCTGTATTTGGAATAGATTGTTAATTGATGTGTATTTGTTACAATATAATTTGATATTTTTAAGTTATTAATATTTCTATCTAACTTTTCAAATTTTTAATAAAAATTGATAATTTTTATTATTTTTTGATATATTCTTTAAACTTCTATCAACTTCTGAGCCCCGGTGGCTGAATGGTTAATGGGGCCACCAGATAGCGCCTTGGCGTGAGAACTCAAGACACATGAGTTTGAAATTCACAAGAGAACAATATTACATTCAAAATCAACTTCTTAACTTCTAAAATAAAAAGATGTGAATCTGTCAAGTAAATATTTTCAAATGAATTTACTATTTAATTTAGCTTATTGTTTCTGAGCTAGAAATTTATATCATAAATATCAAATTCTGTCTTCCATTAATTTTTCTGCATATCCGTTATATTTTTGATGTCATTCAACACTAAGCATTCATTCGGTATAATCAACTCTTTTAATATTACATAACGACTCGTCATAAGCACTGCTTGTATATGAATATAACAGAAGAATAATAATAATAATAATACATTGTTAAATATAATAACATTAAATTTTTTGAGTATTTTATTCCATTTTTGAAGCCTCGATGGCTGAATGGATAATGCGGTCATTAGATAGCGTCTTGATGTGGGGATTTAAAATATGTGGATTTAAAATTCATAAGAGAATAATATTATATTCAGAGTCGGCTTCTCAGTTTTTAAAATAAAGAGATGTGAATTTGTTAAATAAATATTTTCAGACAGATCTATTATTTAATTTAATTTATTATTTTTAAATTAAAAATCTGTATTATAAGTATTAAATTCTGTTTTTCATAAATTTTTCTATATTTTTGTTATATTTTTGACATCATTCAACATTAAACATTTCTTCTGTATAATCAACTCTTATCTGTATTTAACATTACATAAGAATTTATTATTATTATTATTATTATTATTATTCTTTCATTATACTTGTATGCAAGCAATGCTTATAACAAGTCCTTGTGTAATGTTAAATACAGACAAGAGTTGGTTATACAGAAGGAATATTTAATGTTGAATGATGTTAAAAATATAATAAAAATATAAAAAAATTAATAAAAGACAGAATTTGATACTCATAATACAGATTTTCAATCTAAAAACAATAAATTAAATCAGATAATAGATTCACTCAAAAGTATTTACTTGACAAGTTTATATTTTTTTATTTTAGAAGCTGAGAAGTTGGCTCTGAATGTAATGTTGTTATCCTTTTATGAGTTTCAAACCCACGCGTCTTAAGTCCCCACACCAAGGCGCTACCTGGTGGCCGCATTACCCATTCAGCCATCGGAGCACAAGAACTCATCATAAACACTGCTTGCATATGAGTATAATGAAAGAATAATAATAATAATTCAAAATTTTAGCAGTTTTTTCAAAATTTTTAATCTCTTACATTTGATTTTGATATTTTTTTTTTCTTTTCTTTAGAAACTCAATTTCAGAAATCTCTTTAGAAAACACATCTCTCTTTATCATATTGACAAATATAAATGATTTGATTGTATTTCAATTTATTTTTCCTAGTAATACTAGTAACTAGATCAAGTTTTTCAAGAGAACTTAATAAACTGAAACTGATTTTTAAAAATAGATCTGTTAAATCTTCACAAATTGAATGCTATAAATATAAGAAAGGGGAGAACTAATAACTTCAATTTGAATAAATCAAAATTGAAATATCAATTTTTGATAGAAAAACTGATAAAAAAAACTCAGTTTTTTAAAGAGAAGTTGTTAAAACTAGTTATTTATATTCTTTACTGTAAAGATTTCCCCTCACAACAAGTGTGCAGCTCAATTAATACAGTAAAAATATATAGAGATAAATTAACAAATATTAATGAAAGTTCTTCAGCCATTAAACAAAGTTAAAAAAATATAAATTTTGAGCAAAACTTCACTGTTTTATTAACTCAGAGTTAAAACAATGAAAACACTCTATCTCTTTTAAATTTTATCTTTTTCTTAATTAAAAAACTTCTCAAAGTTTCTGTTTAAACTAGGTTTCACCTCAGTTTAAGATTATATTTTTGAAAGATCAAAAGCTTTCAATACTAAATAAATTTCTTTTCATTGAAATTGAACCATTTTATTTTACTAAATAGTTTCCAATAAGTTGAATATTGAGTTTCCAAAGAAATGGGTATGCAAATAAAAAATCAATAGGCTACTTTTTTCCTTTATAATAGATTATATATATATAAATATATATATAAACTACTTGCAGGGACCAAGCTATCTTTCAAACACTGAAATTTCCACTTTTCTCTTATGTTTTATCAATGGGGGTTATTCAAAGGGATTCGATGAGGGATTTGAGGGACGATGCATTCGAATTGATGGGGTATGCACTAGTCAATTGTGCCGAGGTATCTTTTGGCAGGCACGTGTGGTTGGGAGGTACTCAGGGGGGACTTGGCACGGATGCGTTGGAACACGAAAATCGATCAGAGTTTTCTCAAACAGAGAATCAAGAATAACTCAAGCAACTGCAGATCAAATTGAACAAGATTTTAATAGATTATCAGTATAAGATAGATCTATCTCTGATCCAAATCTGAGTTGATTTGATCCAGTATTGATGGAGTAATTTGATGAAATGTTGAAAATCCGCCCAAGCAGATGCCAAAACACTATTCATCAATATCTCCCTCAAAACTTCATCAAATCTTT